CTCAGCGACACCCCAGCAGACACGGAAACCCCCCGACACTCACCACACACCACGCAGCGCCCCAACGCTGACAGCTCAGCGGCCCCACAGGGGACAGCGAAGGCTCCGCACAGGATCCAGAGACCACAAAAAAAGGAAGAGAAAAGAAGACAGAGAGGTACTTTGGTCCACAGCCCATTGCCAAACCCCACCCCTGAGCTGCCCCATCCCAACGGGGCTCAGCCCAGTTACCCCACTGCCACTGCCACCATGGGGGGGATATTAGGGGAGGAATAACCCTAGAAGGGGAGGGGACCAAAAGGGATAAAGTGCAGGGACCCCAAGGGAAAACAGGACCCGGGGGAGACGGGATCAGCCCCAACATGGCCATCCCCAGAGGGGACACGGGCGCCCCAACCCCGCAGCACCCACACACCCGCCTGCCCCGTGCAGAGGGGACGGCCACGGCACAGGGACCGCCGCAGCACCCCACACCCCGGGGACACGGGGACCACGGTGGCACTGGGCTCTCTGAATCCCCCTGAGCACGGCCACCGCCATCACAGCCCCATCCCTCCTCCTCCTCTGGGGCCAAATGCACAGCCCTGGGAGGATGTGGAGTTTGTTTCTCTTTCCCCATCCGCAAACCACAGCTTTTGCAGCCCACTTTATCGCCATGTACCGAGGGGGTGCGCTATCTGAGCCAACACATCAGCGCTTGGAGCTCCGTGTGAACGAAATCGGTACCGCCAGGTGTCCAAGCAGAAAAACACCATAGGCGGTTAAAATTCACCCAGAATTTACACAGAAAGAGTGCGTTTCAGGTCACCCCGGCACGCAACCTGTCTGCGCGGCCGCCCCTCGCCTGTCTCGGCGAGGGTTTGATCCTTGAAATTACGCCTTGCAAACAGCAGCTGGTGGGCGAAGGGCTGCCCGCTCCGTCCCCGTCTCCCCCGGGACTAAACACCGCTGGACGAGGAGGGTGGTAGAGCTCGAGGATACTCGGTGATGCTCGGTGATGCTCGATGCCTGGGTGCGCTTCGGATTTAAGGGATATCGCCCGGTGCTGTTGACTTCAGGTTTGGGGCAAGCCAGGGTGGGAATTAAAGCTGCCGATGCGCAGGGTGTGAACCCTGGGGGTAAAAAGCGCCTTTTGTTGCTTTTTCTGTGCCTGTATTCCATTGCCGAGCCCCACGGAGAGGGGGGTTGCGGCGTTGAGACCTCCCGGGGGTCCAACCCCACCGAACCGCTGTGCGGGGCAGAAAACCCGCGCCGTGGGGATGCTGCGGTGGTTGGAGGGATGGGGGGGGG